TATCATTCCTACAATGACTATTATGTAATCTTATTAAAGTATGATCGATTTCTATGGGATATACATGTACAATAGAGCATTGATGTTTCCCCTTAAGTTGAATTGTTGAAAGTCTACGCTATCATGATTGTCTAGACCATATTTATGACTTTGAAAAAAGGCACACTAAATAGAAAGAAGGGCTTTACGAGAATGGATATTAAAGGGCAGGTTTTACGGGGAAAAGTGAGGATAAAAGATGATATGGTGTTTATAGATAGTTGGTCACTAACGGCAAGGTTCATGCATTCACCTCCCCTTTTAACATCAGGGATGGAAAGAGATTTAAAAGCTAGATCCTATATAATTATGGTGTAGCGGCATGTAACCAGAACAGTACGACAAGTCTGAAGTTGAAGACTATCAGGCCAAATAGGAATTATTCATGAATTAGTTCCACAAAGGGTATAGTTACTGCTCATTGGTCAGGAGATACACTATCTACCATAGCAACAATTTGTCTATGACAAGTATAACAAAAAAAAAGAGTCTTTTTGGTCATTCACACCTAGCCAGCCTACAGGTACATAGTAACATTTGTTTTAAATGCTTATAATTGATTTGTAATGTTTTGTTGGAAACATGAATAAATTTGAATTGAATTGAATTGAACAACGACCCTGTTTGATAAGACTTGGGGCATGTATGCAAATTAAATTCCAAGTATACTAATTCTGAGCAGTATAATGTTGTGCCAATTAAGCACCAATCCTGCTTGCATGAGAACGGAAGAAGAAAGTTTTACTTTCAAGAAGTTGTTCATACCGTTTGGATCGCAAAGTCCTTACTTACATTTATTATGAAAAATAACATCTTTTTACTATAGCATTAATGTTAACATAGTTTTTCAAAATACAACCTATGATATTTCCCTGATGGAATTTCAAATTCCAGGATCATTATTTTTCAACCTTTTCCCGGTAGGATGCGAACGTTCATGTGGTTGGACGAGCAAGACAGTGTGCCCCTGTAAAATGGCGACTGGCTGGAATGCTCCCCAGGGAGTGGAAAATGTGCACACATTGTGTGCGGGTAAGCCTGAATCCAATGACCGGGGTAATAATATATCTGTAAAGCGCTTAGGCACATCGTTGGATCGGTGTATTGAGCGCTATATAAAAAAAAACGGATTATTATTATTATTATTATTAAAACTTTGCTTGCAATTAATGACAGCACTACTTGTAGCTACTTGCGCCCTCTATATAGCAAAAAATGCCTAAGCGGTACCATTGGTCCCCTTATGTTAATCGAGAGCCGATTTGATGAGATAACCCCCTGTTAGTGACCAGCAGGGAGGTATTATCCCTCCTGGCCAAAGTAGTGCAGATAGTGCGTGTCAGTCATCCAGTATATATCCTGTTTGGACACTAAACTAAATATATAAGAGAACAACTACTTTCACTTCCGGCTAATGAGATTCCCAGATTTTCCCTGATTGAGTGATCTTTATAAAATGACACTTCTCTGGAAAAGGGGAATTAATTTTCCTGTGTATCGTTTCACTAATTAAAGTGTCATAAGTACAAGTTTCCTGAAATCTCTGTAATAAAGTTGTATCACTGTGGGAAAAATTGGTGGATAAGATTAACACTGGCACTGATCACAGTTATAATCTGACTCTGACAAAATTTAATTATTTGTTTGAGATACAGTCAAGGGACAAACACACTTCTTGTATAAATTTTCTCTGTTTATGTTTAAAATATTACATTTACTCCTGTAGGTTTCAGGGAAAAGAACTAATTTTCGAAGCTTTTGTTTCAATGGTAAAGTTAAAAAAAAAACAGAATATAAACTTGCCCAAAAGAAAAACAAGTTACATGTCCATTTTAAGAAATGGTCCATCAAGTGAAATTTTGTAGTAGTTTTGCAAAGCTCTGTTGTTCTTAACATCTTCATTGACTTTTTGTAATGTAAACTTGCCCCCTGGGAAAGTATGTATGTGCGTGTACATGGGTGCATGAGCGGGTGCCTGTTTAGAAGTTTTAAGATGATATAATATATTATATTGTTGCTTTTACTCTGTTAATTTTTCAGAAATAACAATAAAAACAGTTTCCTAAAATCCTATTGAAACAGGTGTTAGATTTAATACATGCGATTCAATAGGTTCTAAGTGAACCTGTAGCCATGATGTTTTATTTTGTTAAATATATAGAGCGGTAGTGGTAAAATTGCAGTTCAAGGGTTTTGGGTGCGAAATATCCATTCAATATTGTTTAAATATTGCCTTCAGAGGTTTAGATGGCAATACTTCAACCAAAATTCGCAAAAAAGCAGAAATATATGCCCAAATGTTCAATGTTGAAGAGCATTCGCAATATCTACCCAGGCCGGATCGATATGATAATAGGCGGTTTCCTGGCAAACTTTGTATCATCACATTTTAGTAAAAACATATTCTTTCGCATGATTGGTAATAAAAGCTTCTATTTCATTTTTTAAGAGGGGGGCTTTTCCAAAACTGTTCTATACCTTTAAATGCTGCCCACTGAATGCTATAGGATAGCTCTGAACTTGACTATGGCATCACAAAGAAAATCTGAATTTTAGAATCAAAGTGACAGTAGCATACCTGCCAACCTTTCACAGCAGAAATGAGTTGAATTAGAATTTTATTTAATTCCAATAAAAGCATAAATCAGAAATACAGAATACATGGAATCAAGGATACCATAATTTACCATTGTAATATTATTTTACGATACTATCTTAAAAGATAGATAAATATAAAACGAAATAAATGTATTCTTAAAAAATCCAAATTGAGAGATATAACACGTGCCGTAAAGTAATTTGGCGACAATAGTCAAATCACTGACTAATCGCCAATAACTCAAAACACAACAACAACATTGATTTTAATTTGTAAGTGACATATACACCACAAAATAAAACCTCTAAAGAGCATTCACAACTAATCATAAAACATCCAGATAAGTATATAAGCTTTACAAAGCTGATCCTTTTATTAATCTATAAAATTCTACAGGGTTTTTTAAATTACAATTCTACAAGGTTTTTTAAATTACAATTCTAAAAAGTAGTCACAAATATTTTTAAAAATGCATTAGAAGCTTTACAAAATATAAACTATTGATTAAAGAAAATTTACGTTTTATTGCACAAATTCTATCAAAATTTATATCCATCGTTTAGGATGATGACCCATCCACATTTGGGGTGATGAAATTCATGATTTTATCATGATTTTCAAACGCGTAAAATATTACAGTTTCTTAAGCACAAAGCTGTTTGACGATCATTGATTGTGCAATGACTATCATAACTACTAAATATTTGCTCATAAGCCTAGCACCAAGACAAAAAAAGACATACTTTCAATCACCTTTCAAACTTCTCAAAAATTCTTTAAAATAAAATGTTTACTTTTACAACCTTGTTTCATATTTTCTTAAATTGAAGGTTTGCCAGAGCCGTCTTTTTTTTGCACTGGAACTAAAAAAAACCCACATACTAACAACATCTGATGAAAGCACTTGACCCTCTTTAATTTCTTTGTCTGTTGAAAGGTACGAGGGCATGAACTCATATACTTAACTACAAAGTTAATGCCATTCTAGCTTTAAATTTTTGGTTTTACAGTAGATTGATTTAGATCAATAATGATAATAATAATTGGATTTACATATATAGAGCCTTTTCAAAATGATACAAGGTGCTGTCCCTTAGTCTAAGGACAGCTTAAGAAGTATTGTTGTGGTATGTTTTTAGTTTTTGAAGAAACTAGTCAAGCGAATCACAACTTTTTCAATAACTCTAAGACATGGCCATACAGTATGCATGTAAAATGACGGCAAACTAGCATACATTTGGTAGATTGGCAGTGTTGATGTTGTATATTCTATCTGACTGCTGAGAAAGCAAGTATATATATATATATATATATATATATATATATATATAGGAAGCATTCCCATGGAGTATTATGTCTGAGATGACCCAAGGTTAAAACCAAGGGATATGTGTATTAAAGGTACTATGTCCCTATTGCAGGTCAAAAAAATGAAGAGGTTAAATTCCAACGGCATTTGAAAGATAATACTAATTTAGCACTTCCCTAAAAAAAGAGGGGCTTGAAAAGTCTTTAAGTGGGAAAATAACGACTATCAGTTGTCAAATCGACTTAGGAGTTATAGAGCCAGTAAGTAGAAGTCTGATTTTTCAGACCATTGTACGGAATGGTCGTACGTTTTATGCTGCGCAAAGATTCAATCAATTTAATTTTGGCCATTATGAGAAGTGGGTTATTGATGTAGATGCTCATGTACCCTTTACAGCTCATTTTATGTATGTTATTACCAAAGAAGAAAAAAAAGCGAGTCAGTCACTCAATAGTGTCTGACAGTGAAGTCTAGCAAGTAAACAGGTTTCCTTGCATAATTTGAATATTAGGACACTGCTAACATTCAAATTTCACAGATAGGACATATATGACATATTCATAATTCCTACAAAGTTCTACAGAATTTGATGTTGGCTGCAAAAGGGACATAGTATCTTTAAGTGAAAACAAAATTGGTTTCAATAACTCCATCCCTATTCAAAGGTTTTGTTTGCAATTTCAGCAACGTAAGTTTGGGAAGACCATCCCTCAATTGAGGAGGGACTGATAATAGAAGTATACTTGAGTATAGAAAATCTTAAAATACATATATCATACATACATTAGCAGCCTATAGCACCATTTACATATGGCATTGTATTGCAGGTTTATCATTACTTATTCAATTGACAGTCAGATTGGTCTGTGTTTTAAACACGTATCGTGGCAGGTTTGTATTGTCAAGGCTCAGGAGAAAGTTTTAAACGATACAACATTCAATTAGATTTGTCACTATAATGCAGAAATATGCAAGAATTTTAGCAACATGAACTCCACAGAGAACTTACAAACCAGGCCACAATCATTAGGCATGAGTTGTTATAAAAATACATCAATAAAAGGCAGAAATATGCTTACAGGTTGTGATATTTAGCAATTTTAGTAAGCACTAACAGACTGCAAACTCGACCTGAATCAGGCCAATTGCTAGGCATGAGTAGTTGAAGCTATAATATGCACAATTATGTAATTACAAGATAGAAATGTTGTTCAGAAGGAGTCTCCAGCAACATCAGTAGACACAATAGATTCAAACAGAACCCACAAATCAGGCTGATTGCTAGGCATGAGTAGTTGAAGCTGTATGTCAGTATAAGGCAGAAACATTGCTGAAAGTCTATGATAAATGGCAATTTATTGAGTGAAAGAGACTCTAAACAGAACCTAAATATAGCCACAATCCCCAGAAATGAGTCTTTAAAGCTATGTGTTATTATAAGTCAGAAACACTCTGCAAGGTCTCTAGTATTTGGCGACTTTAGTAATCACAACAGACTCCAGACTAGATTAAACCAGGCATTCCTTGAAAAATACCAGGTGAAACGCTAACCATATATGGTTGGACTGGTTTCCTGCAATAGTCCCTATCAGACCACATGTGGCGTGTGCCTAGCTGCTTCTGGATTCTCCCCGGGCATTGAATCTTCTTGCAAAACTGCATTTTCTATCAAGCTGTCCGCCTCTACGCTCGAAAGCGGCTGCTCTGTCGTACTGCTTGAACTGGAACGTTGTCGAGGAACGGGTGGCATCTGCAATCTTAAAGTACTCCATACACGCGTTTCGGCTCTCTTCAGCTTTGGCGCTACTTGAATAGACTCTCTGGCCTCCATCTCAATATGGTTACCGTTTTCCATTGACAGGGTTCTGAGCGGCTCCTGAGATCGAGAGTCCTTGAAGATCTGCCAGTCTAGTCGTGGGTGGGTGCTGACGATGTGGTCGAGGGCCACGTGAGCCTTGATGACATCGGGTGAGATCTCTCGGATGAAGATGGGGATGATCTCCTTCTTGTTCTGTTTAATGATATCTAGGCATTGCTCAGTCTCCAGAGACATATACCTATAATCAATAAGGATCATTATAATAATAATAAACTCTTCTTATAAAGCGCATATCACATTAAAATATAACGTCCCTTTTAGTTTGGATATTTGGATACCCCGACTTTAGTTCTGGCAGCCATAATGCATTTCAAGGAATAAATCCTGCCAGGTACCCATTTAACACCTGGGTGGAGAGTGGCAAATATGGAAGAATGTCTTGCCAAAAGACGAGAGAGCTGCACTGGGATTCAAACCCTCACCCCTTGGATTTAGAGTCAAGTATATGAAGCACTAACCATTACACCTCCACAACACCACCTCCAATGAAATATCAAAGGGCATACCAATCACACACAATATAAAATAATAAAAAATACGAGTAACAAGTGCAGCTAGGAAATATAAAATCAACATAAAGAACTTCACCTCAAATTCTAAGGGGCTAGTGGTGAAGTGTATTAAGAAAATACAGAATAACCTAAAACCCCATGCATATGGCCTAAGTATGACTTTGGTTCTATGTAGGCCCTATTCTATGCAATCGTATATGCGTGCATTGATTAAGGTAAGAATAAGGAAAGTGTAAAAATAGGGAAAGTGTAAGAATGAGGAAGGTGTAAGAATAAGGAAAGTGTAAGAATAGGGAAAGTGTAAGAATAAGGAAAGTGTAAGAATAAGGAAAGTGTAAGAATAAGGAAAGTGTAAGAATAAGGAAAGTGTAAGAATAGGGAAAGTGTAAGAATAGAGAAAGTGTAAGAATAAGGAAAGTGTAAGAATAAGGAAAGTGTAAGAATAAGGAAAGTGTAAGAATAAGGAAAGTGTAAGAATGAGGAAAGTGTAAGAATAAGGAAAGTGTAAGAATAAGGAAAGTGTAAGAATAAGGAAAGTGTAAGAATAAGGAAAGTGTAAGAATAAGGAAAGTGTAAGAATAAGGAAAGTGTAAGAATAAGGAAAGTGTAAGAATAGGGAAAGTGTAAGAATAGGGAAAGTGTAAGAATAGGGAAAGTGTAAGAATAAGGGAAGTGTAAGAATAAGGAAAGTGTAAGAATAGGGAAAGTGTAAGAATAGAGAAAGTGTAAGAATAAGGAAAGTGTAAGAATAAGGAAAGTGTAAGAATAGGGAAAGTGTAAGAATAGGGAAAGTGTAAGAATAAGGAAAGTGTAAGAATAAGGAAAGTGTAAGAATAAGGAAAGTGTAAGAATAGGGAAAGTGTAAGAATAAGGAAAGTGTAAGAATAAGGAAAGTGTAAGAATAAGGAAAGTGTAAGAATAGGGAAAGTGTAAGAATAAGGAAAGTGTAAGAATAAGGAAAGTGTAAGAATAAGGAAAGTGTAAGAATAAGGAAAGTGTAAGAATAAGGAAAGTGTAAGAATAGGAAAGTGTAAGAATAAGAAAAGTGTAAGAATAGGGAATTTTCAAAGTTGTAATGGATCAAGTACAATTTGGCAACCTTGTGACATACAGTATGTGTTGTACAAGCAAGCACTCACCCTTGAATTGTAGTACTTTGTATTATGTATTGTGTTTTACATTTTTCTTGTACAGTGTATTGAGAAACATATTTTTTTCATTAAGAGCTCTATGAATATTGTATTATTATCATTATAAAAGAGAGGAAGAGGTGGAGAGGGTTATACCTGTATGTAAGAAACTGTGGAGACAGGAGAATGATGTAACGACGACTCCTAGTCAATGATTGGACGATTTCCTCTGACGTCTCTGCAAAGAATAAGGAATCATAATAGAATTGATATTTCAGTCATTTCCTGTTCATTGGTGGTACACAGACAAACAACAGTGACCAAGAATACATTTGTAATAATTATGCTTGACATCTACATGTAGTTAAAGATAAAGTTGAGTTCTGGTCATGCGATTGCATTGTGAAGGTGTGGAATGGATGAGAAAAAGTTGATCATATAGCATGTAAATATTGGTGTGTATTGCAAGTTTCTGGAGTCATCAAAATCATAATAAATTTGGCCCAGTTTTGGTAAAGTAACAAGTACTGTACACAGAAAGATGTATATGAGACGACACAAATAGTGTCGGATCAACTTTCCTTGATTTCCTTATCTTTCTATGCTCCTTACTCAGCCAGTATACATTTTCTACCAAAATTGTTTGGCAAATGACATTTATTTGTAATCTTGAACATTCAGTGCAAGTTTCATTTGATTCTGTGAAAATTCATTTTTTTTAAAACCAGAACTCAAGTTTATCTTTAAGCTCAAATGAAACTTTATTACTTGATACAAACTTATCAGTACATGAGACTCCCACTGTAGCATCCATACAGAGCTCTGCCTGTGTTGCTGTCTATGTGACATATCACCACAAGGTGGCGCTATTGATGAAATATATGTATATCATTACAATATTATGCAGGTTTATTACTGAAAGTAAATTTGCAGGAAGGTAACGGCATTCCTCCTTCCACACAATTTTTAATCAGGTACAAGTTTGCGAATTGGAGACAGTGGGTAATATGGATATTATGAACCGGTTGCAGTACAGCACACATATCAATTGGGTGATAGATGCACAAAAAGTACTAATGCAGGATATTTGAGACCACAAGCCATATGTTATGTTTTAAAACTTATGGCATGAAACATATATACTTTGTTTTGGCGCAAGTTACATGATGTTAGCAAGAAATTTGTTCCAAAGTCTTTTGCCAATAACATATGCATTAGCTGAATGAAGATGACAATAGGAAGAGGTTATAGAGGAATAGGTTAGGTTTGGTGCCAGAATTTTCATTAAACAAGCCCACCATGATTTTCCAAAATCCAAACACAGCCTTCCTTTATTAGTTTTAAAATATATGGCGTGAAAAGCCTATGAAATAAACTAGCAAATGCTTTTGCTAGGCTTTTGCTGGCTTCATTAAATAACTTGTATGTGAAGATAAGCAGAATAATAGATTATCAACCCGCTAGGATTTTCTATAGTCGTCTTGGCCTAATGCTCCACAGTCCAATTTAAAACTTCAAATAACAGTAAAAATAGAAATCATTGTTAAAATGCCAGATTATAAGCAAAGCCCCTTGATTGTATCCCACTCCAACTGAATACATTTCATTATTTTTGGATGGATGTACCAAATACCAGCAATGAAAATAATGACTGAATTTTTTGTATTATTTTCACAATACCATATGTCTGAGTACTTACGGATGGGTCTCCTATTCTCTGCATTTTTGAGAAAATATAACAAATTAAAAAAGAGGGTACCACTTGCCTTTGCTAATGAACAACTATGTGCAGGATGGAGAATTAGTGTAAATTAAAACATTTCTCGTATTTCATCTTGAAGTTCTCCAAAAATGTATATTTTCTTGAAACCATTTTTTGTTGTTATCATCTGTTTCATGATTTCTTAACATGACATGCACAGAAAGGATGTACATGTATGTATTCAATAAAGTTATATTCTATTTAAAAAATATAAAAAAATAATAATAAAAATAGTAACATTTATAAAGTGATTAATAGTATCGTTTCTGAGCACTATACTATTATTACCCCGGAATTCATATTAAAATAAAAAATTGCTAAAATATCTAAAAATAATAATAATATTCGGTTCTTGTATAGCACACCACATTATAACGTCTCTATGTGCTTCCACAGAGCCTTTGAAATTATTACCCCGGCATTAGCTTGGCTACCATTACGGCGCTCTAGCATTTCAAGGAATTAATTCCTGCCAGGCACCCATTTACCTCACCTGGGTCGAGTGTGGCAAATGTAGATTAATGTCTTGCCAAAGGACATTAGTGCTGCGGACCTTGTGATCCACAGTCCAGTGACATATCCACTCGACCACGACACCTCTACAAATGTATTCAGTCTTTATTGAGAAAGACCTTTGTTCAAGTTTGATGATGAAGACCTACCATTCCCAGGGAGAAAGTCTGTCTCTGCAAGGCACACCGTGTAACCAAGCTTGGTCAAGCGTTGTTTGAGGTCAAGGGCGTACAGTCGGTCTGGATTGTGTGAACTCTCGCCGTCTGACCAGAAGTAAGATATGTACGCATCGTAATCCTTACCATCTGCAAGTGAGACAGCGAGTCAAATCAGCGTAGTCACAAGAAATCATTTAAATGATGACATTTAAAAAGATTTTAAGACACAACTAACAAACAACTGCCCCATGGGACAATTAGTCTCTGAAAAACGACCAGTATACTACCATTCAGCTAGATGTTTGGAGGGGGGGGGGGGGCTGAATTGGGGTATATTGGGGTACTTGTTTGGGTTGTGGGTTGGGGGATCCAGGGGAAGTCATCTTTTTACCATCTTGAAACTTTTAAAACCATTAAATAACTAAATTTTTATTATTCATTACTATTTATTTATCACTGCAATACACAATAATATGACCCGATTTCATAGACACTGCTGCACCAAACCAGGCAGCCTGGGCAGGAATAGGTCAACTAAACTAACCATGGTCCACATGGCTTCCTTCCCATACCCATACGTGTGCACAAAAATCTAAACATATAATAAGGTTTACAGCAGCATAAAATATGATTTTTACAAGAAAATTGAAAGATAAGAAGTTTGAAGATGATGTATGTAATACATTATAGCCGCATTGAGATCCCAATGATGAGGCTGATGAAGAAAAATTTGTATCTTATCTTAAAATTAACAGAGTAAGATATAAATACCACCCAAAAGAACACATGCAGATTAAAAAATGACTACTCATCCGTTTTAGATAGAAAATGTAAGATTCATTAGAAATTTTAAAAAATGATCTGGGAAATTGCACTTTGTCAGGAAAGAAATTTATTTGTTTAGCTCTCTGGTCTGGAGTGTTCTTTGTTAAGGTCAGGTGAAGATGTTAAGGTCAGATGTTTTCTTTTCAGGCCAAGATGTATTGTTCCTTATGAATAGGCCTGGGGAAGTCATTAATTCAGTGTACATGTTTTATCTGTTGTTTGGCACACATTTAGGAAGCCTCTTTAGAAGACAAGTATTTTCCTTTGTAAGATGATTTCCTCTCCAAACATTTGTAGTCATGTTTTTAGAATTTACTTAGTAACCGTAGGGTATATTAAGAGGTGGATTTTCTGCAATCGAGGAGAACCACCTAAGCTATAATAGACTTAACGTCATGTTAGAAGTCGGCAATTAAAGTCAATATCTGAGGGTAATTCCACGTCGGGACGAGAGGCTAGCTCAACTGCCACCCGGTTCTCCATAGCTTTCGTCGGGGGGCTAGCTCTTGTCTGGGATCGGGACGCACACCATCGTATCCCAGTCTGCGGAGGTCAAGAATCTGGGGCGACTACCGGGGCCAAGTGGAGCAAAGACGCCGTATGCGGAGGCCAGGGCCAAGTGGACGAGACGAGCTGTGACCGGCATCGATGTCAGACGGGAAACTACCCATCCAGAATTATTTTGTTAAAGATAAGTTTAATTACCTACTTTTTTTTTTACTTAAGCCAAAACAAAGTGTGTGAAGCAGGAAAAATGATTGGAAATTAAACGTTACAATTTAACTTTATTTTAACAAGCTTTATTTCCCTTTATTCTGTGTGTCCGTAGCAGTAATAAATTTTTTTTTAAATTCACTCATGTGACACACTTGTAAAGCATTTTGTCTGTTTGGAGAACAGAAGGGCGTCAACTCAAATAGTTTTTAGGACTGAACGCCTTTCTGGCTCTACACAGATGGTTAGTGTATTTACCATCTTGTTCCTGTTTTCCAAACTGGTCTTTGTATAGCAGCTGTATCTCAGTCCTCTTTGTTCTGTAGATGAGGGCCGACATTAAGACAGTCATCACGATGAATGCCATCATCACGCTAACAGGTATCTCCCACTTCGGTATAGACCATCTCGGTTGGACTGTTGTAGGAAGGACAGAGAGAGCTAGAGCTTGTAAACGTTATTCATATCATCATCATCATCATCATCATCATCATCATCAATATCATAAATTGTATCATTATCGTTATTATCATATTTATTATCATTATCATCATCATCATCTACATCGTCACCATCATCATAATAATCTGTCACTATCATCAAAATCATCAATATCATCACTTTTGTCATAATAATCATCCTCATCATCTTCACAATCATTTTTACCAGTTCTAATCTGTATCATCCTACCTTTCAAGTTGAGTGTATTGATGATGTTACCAAGAGGCGTAGAGCAAACCACAGTATAATTCCCTTCAGATGTCTTATTCACATCGTGTAAGGTGATGCAGGATGATATATTTCCCTTTCCTTTGCTTTGAAAATAATTATGATAATGAGAATCACTTTATTATGATTACTGTTCTTCATTAGGCCTAAAAAAAAAACTTCAACCCTCCCCCAAGCACTACACTTAACCCTAATCCTACAATTACGCCAAAACCCAAAGGTAACCCAACCCTATTAGATATTCTCGAAAAAATAAACCCCGGAGTAATGGTCATCAGAACAAATCTCAGATCAACGCCAATTTGAGGAGACAAGCATTTGGAAATGTTATTTCTCCGCATGTTCATTTAAGGGAAACGGTTGTTTATACAATCAAACCTACTTTAAGGACCCCTATCTAATAAGAACACAATTGTCTCATTAGAAATAATTAATGCTTCTCATATAGACCATGCACCTGCCTCTATATTGCTTTTTGGTCTTTCTATACAAGTTCACTGTTAGCTAATCGGTCGATTTTAGTCAAGACACATTGTTTTATAGCTTCATTAATATCTTGACATTGAGAGGGAGCTATACAACATAAAGAATTTATAATTTCATAAGACAGGGGATAATCACCTTACATTTTGGGTCACACTCTCATCCTCCCAGTAGGTGAAGGTACTGTCAGAGACTGTGCCGACTTGGCAGACGCAACAGAAGGTCACGTCTTCTCCCGGATGGACTACCTTATCCTGGCATTCAGAGTTAACCGTGATGATGGGGCCTATGGAATCTGCAGATATAAAATAAGAAATGTTATACAACTCTCTCTTCGATCCTATTCAAATGACTGGTCAAACGTGGCCAGCATGTGTGATTCATTTACTGAGCCTATTTCAATAACACCGGGGCCCTGCCTACAAGCAACCTGCTTATTAAGGGTATCCCTCCATGTTTATGTTTATATTGTTATTTTAATACAATGTTTCAATACTTTGTTATATTTGTTCTTTTTTTAAAGATGGAAAATAAATTGAAATTGAAAAATTGAATCTAAAAGTTTAATTATGTAAAACAAATGATGCATATTTTCATTCATTAAAAAATCTATTCGCTCTTGTTGAGGCTACCGTTTATGCACCTAGTCCAACAGCTGTCAGATAAATGCATACAGCCTCAACTCGATTGCGAATAGATTGTATAATGAACTCATTCGCATGCATCATATGCATTACCGGTACATGTATAATAATAATATGAAAAAAGGAATGAGTTTGCATTCTGATAATTCAGTCTCTAAACATAAAATTGCATGCATTGGTAATAAAGCATTAACATCTTCTGTTTTATTTACCTCACTGTACACACCAATTAAAGTGTACCAATCACCCTTAAAGGTAATACAAAGTTTTGGGAAATTTAGAAAATTGGATGGTGGTGATTCTTTTCAATTTTGATATATTTGGATGCCCCTGTGGATGTTATATAAGCACTAGAAAATTTAGCCTCTAAAACACTTCTGCTTTCGAGAAAAATTGAATATAAAAATTTACCGGTGTTCCCGTTAAATTTTGATAAATTTCAAATAGCGCTGCATGGTCGTGCAATGGTACATGCGACCATGAACATTTCAGAATATGCAGTTGTGATATATAATTTCCAAACGGGAATAGCTAATCGGTAGATTTTAGTCAAGAAATATTGTTTTATAGCTTAATTAATATCTTGACCTTGAGAGGGAGCTATACAACATAAAGAGTTTATTATTTATAATTTCATAACTTTAAAATCGATTTCAAACGTGACAACGATCACTGAATATTGTAGGATCGCATATGCTTCCAATATGTTCATTTGACCAAATTCATGACCCATACCAAAACTCTGTATTACCTTTAAGTATTATGATCTGTATATTCAAGGTTCTATGTCGCTATATCTTTTAATCTAAATGTGAGCTTAAAATATTACCTCTCCAAAGAGCATTTGAATTTTAAATACACGCTCAATGCACATAAAAGCAACAGCTGAGTAGACTAGCCAATGCATGTACCCGCTCACATAGAATATGGCTGGTACCCGGCAAACTCAAGACTGACTTGGGTTACGTGTGTGCGTTTTGATGCTATTTATTGTTCATTCAGTGTTTGATGTTATTCATTATTTATTTGAACACTTTAACTGTAATAGCGTATAGAATGAATGGTTAAGTTTTTTGAGGTTGATGTTATACATTCTATCTGTGTTCAAATCATTTTCCAGGTGATTTATGGTGATCCCATTATAATTGATATACATATAGATATAAATTATTTTAATTTTTTTTAAAAAATCATGAAGATGATAGATACGGGCTATTAAAACATTGAGATAGAGCACGAGTCAGTGTGCGGCCCTTTTCAGGCCCAACTAATCTTGTTGAAAGAATACGGTGTGGTGTAATGGCAAATGTAGCTTAAAGGGACTTGGTAACATTGTTCAGATGAGACAAAATGGTCCTAAGGAAGCGACTTCAATGCTGGATGTACAATTAAAGATAATCTGAAAATTTTAGTTAAAACAGACAAATATTAATGAAAGAAATTGGGAAAAACTGATCTGATTGATTCCTTAATTCTCCCAACTATATTATTACAATCTAATTACATTTTAGGTGAATGAAAATTGTCACAAAGCAATGAATTGGCTCTATATACCATTCCAGACATTTAAGTGTTGAAAGATTTTCAAAAGCCCGTCTTATGTCTTATTTTCATGGAAAAACGGTTGGGAAAATTCAAAAATGGTTGGTGGAATTTACTGATAGAGGTTGTCGCAGAGTGACGCTTCCAAAGAAAACCATAAATATCTTTGTGGTTTGAGAATTTTTTCAGGATTTTTTGCATGTCAGAGGGTCAATACAGTAGAAGGAATATAGTAAGTAGCATTTCATACCAAAACTACACAGTTTCTTTTCATCAACCTTCAACAATGTTACAAAGTCACTTTAAAAAAGGATAAAAGAGAAAAGTTGCTTACGTTTACCCTCATCCACTCTCAAGTAAGTCTGTTGTGGCAGGTTTTCTCCTTCACATCCTGTCTCCTCTAAACAGGTATAGTTCCCCTCATCTTCTAAGTCGAGGGACTTGAATTTCAAAGCTCGGCAGTTACATTCGCTCTCGCAATAGATCCTTCCATCGTCCGTCAGGTTGAGTGGTACGCCATCTTGCTGCCAGGATACCTGTGTTGGTTACAGTGGAGAGAAAGACTGAACTAGTTTTATCATCTTGTGGCAGCAATATGGTGAAGAGGTCCGATTTACTACATGACAATCATTCCATGATAATTGAAAATAACTATTTATTGTCTATTCAGAAATTTGTTTATCACCGGTATAAATGTTACAAATGAAATTTCTAAATAGAAAGAAAATGAAATTGAATATTTATTGTCTATTCGGTAAATTGTTTTTCACTGGTAAAAATTTGCAAAGATCATTTTACAACAAAAAGAGAAATAATCATAATCATAGACAGTTACAGTAATGGTAAACTCAATTCATGATGCATATAAAACAACATAGAAACCATTTCACATGTACATTAAAGGAAAATGGAATCAAAAAGAAGTATTATACCTGGGCACAAGAAATAGGCATCTATATGTATTCATTTATCTGTGAATCATAAAATACAACCAATTTGTAAAGCGCACTACGTCGGTGGTTATAACATGCCGCGGCAGATCATTTGAGGCAGTTTATTGAATTATGTATGAATATGTATTAGGCTACAACAGGGTATAATAAGAGTCTACAGTCCACGAGACCGACAGTTCACGAGATGGACAGTCCATGAGACCGAACATGTTGGTCTAGCAAACCTGAAAGTTATCAAAAAGCCCACAAGACTAACGTGTCAGGATCGTGGGCCATCTGAGAGCTTTTTTACGGTTCGTCAGACTGATGTTGTCGGTCTCATGGGATGTTGATCTCATGGGCTGTTGGTCTCGTGGGCTGTCAGTCTTTTGGGGAAGTCCTATAATCAGACCTTACACTGCTCCGTCACTTGGCAGATGAGATCTTTGTATGTGCCAGCAGTTCCAATCTCTTCCGTGCTGGGGTCCGTCTCTAGAATATATACAAAATATACTGTTAAACAATCAAGATATATATGTAAAAAAGAAGCGATCAGTCTATGAGGCACGGCTCGGCAATAACGCCCAGGACATACAAATGGGTGCTTGAAATTGTAGACCCCCCCCCCCCCCAAAAAAAAAAAAAATCAAAAAAATCAAAAAAAATCACAGTTTCACACAGACCCTAAAAATAACATATCTAGAGAACAATTGACACAGTTGATTGATAATTAATCAGAATTTACAATCCATTATGGATTCAGAGTGTGAAGGGGTAATGTGTGTTTGGAGTAAGCTTTAAGCTATTTCACTGAACAATCTTTTTTAAACGAGGATTTAAAAATAAAAAGATTGTAATTTATTAGCAATATAAGGTCATAAAATATTTGAGTTAAAAAAGGTTATTGATAGCAAGATTATATTAGTTGAGACACTCTTGTGGAATCTTGAGAAATTACTCTCCCCAAAATGTTGATGATATCTATGATTTTTGGAATGCTCTTATAATATTACAACAAAAATTCTATTTGCCCCTTTATTCACGAAATGTCGGGGGTTACATTTGTGGAATAAGCACCCCTTATCTACAAATGGTCTAGTCCAATTTACACAACACTTTGTGAAAATCCTACAGCAAATCTATGAAAGGTCACATGATCTTCCGGATTTGTTTCACGAAAGGTCGTGACCACTGACCAGACGCGATCCCCCGATTAATTGAAGTAAGCAGAATAATGGCATTTCTACTTACTGTTTTCAGGGCATAGAGAAATAGAGTTATGTACTAAATACAGCAGTAGAAGTAGGCCATTTAGAGCCTTGCAAGTCCAGGACCAGGTCCAAGTGTAGACCTGTCCTCTAGGTGTCATCTTGTAGGTCTTAGGCATCCTGATCCACACATGCTGTCTCAGGACAGAATCTTTACAACAAAAACAAGAAAAGAAGGTTTAATATAGGTTGATAAAAGTACCGGTAACAGGAACTATAGACTTCACACTTTAAAGATTTGACCGTTGCGGGTTAAAGAACAGGTCCAAGAGTATACCTTTATGTTCATTGTCATTTACTGGTAGTACATGTAGGTCTCAGGTATCTATAAATGATATCTCAGGTACCATGCTTTAAAACAAAGTCAATAAAAAAAGGAAAGAAAAAGAAAAAAGAAAGAAGGTACATCAAAGTTATGAGAAAAAAAGAGAATTGATTTGAGACTTATAAGTTGAATGCTGACTGTTTGTATTGGAGTTAACCTGTCTGCTAGCTAGGTATCATCTTATTGATCTCAAATCCAAGTATCCAAGACAATAGGTAAACAAACATATATAGCTCCCCTAAAGTTGGGGAGATGTTGGAGTAACTTGAAATGCTCAAGGGAGTAGACCGATGAGAGACTTCAAGGGAAATCAAACCAAAATAGACAACTACTCTAAAAGAAGCAGAAAAGATGCAAACTGATGAAAGTTTCAATTAAATCTGACTAAATATACAAAAGTTATGAATTTTGGAAAGTTGTAATCACTATATAGGTATGGGCACTTCAAATAGGCTGAAGCGGTAATGTCAATGTGATGTAGTGCTGGACTACTTTCCCATCTGTTCCAACATATAATGACTAGACTTTAAATTTTGCAAAAATTCATTGCTCAGGAGGGTTAATTCTTTTTAGAGGACCTATAATAATATAATATGTTTTGAGAAGTGCCCCAAGGGAGAAGGAACTTACAAGAAATAAAGAAATTAATGATGTACACGGCTAATGGGAGAGTTATCCTCGTCCTAAGTCACAATCCTCTGACCGAACTACCAATTTGAGATTCGCATAGACTTAAAACAGTAGACTTGGCTGGTTTACAGCTTTGAATATATATAGCTGCATTAGGTGTTGCCTTTCAGAGGAAATCCGATGAACTTGATCATTTTTATTGCCCATCGCTCATTTCTAGGAATCCATAATTCCTAGACTCAAATCCAAGTATAAATGGGTAAACAACATATATAGCTCCCCTAAAGTTGGGGCGTTGTCTGAGCACGTAACTTGAAAAGCTCAAGGGGGTAGAAGGCCTTGAGAGACCAAAGTCAAGGGACAGCTAAAACAGTAGACTTGGCTAGTTTACAGCTTTGAATATATAGCTTCATTATCAGCGGTTGCCTTTCAGAGGAAATCCGATGACCTCTATCCCAAGTTCAAAATGCACAAACCACATGATATATATCATTTGTATTGCTCATCGTTTCTAGGAATCCATAATTCCCAAACCGACATACAAGCTCATTAAATTGCTTGCTATATGTACTGTCAACACGGTGCTCTTAATGTAGATTTGCAAGCAACACTTTTTGGAGTCACATTATAGGAATCACTCCATTTTGGAGTTGAATACACTCCAAAGTAGTAGTTTAAATAAGTCTTTTGAGAGTAGATTTCCACTCCACAACAAAGTGATTTTACAAAAGCTCAAATGTTAACCACAACAATTAATACCAATGCGAGCAAGAAAATTCCTATGTGAAATATTATGATCAAAAGCCTCCTTAAGTAAAATATAGCACACAGGCAGTTCATCTAACCATATGAAATCAAGTCTCTTTCAAGTCTCTTTCAATAGAAGTTTAAACAAAAAAACTCACCCAAGTGGAGAGACCAGTGTGTGCATGTGCTATCGTCTGTTTGCCAAAACCAACATAAGTGTTAATACCCACATGTACTACTGATAAACCCTCAGGAACTGTTTACAGTATATGTACTGTGTGATTCGGCTCTTCTGCTACAACCTTTCTGCATTAATGATTCATGTCGGATACCGGTAATGCAAATCCTTCACACGGCTATGAGCTAATACAATGGAACTTCCAATGGCTACATTGATAATAAAAATGAGCATACTGGTATTGCTATATAATATGTGTGTCTCTAAATTCCCCTACCCCTATATCCTGGTACCGGTATTCTTACCCTAGCTCCTATCCAACCGTAGGATATAGGTTCAAACAAATCAAATACATTGATGAATTTTAAAATATCTTGCTCTAAATCCCCCCCCCCCCTCCTCCTGCTCATATCCTGGTACTTTATAAGAAAGGATACTATTTCTCGATCAGATCCCGCTCCCAACCATCCTAGGATATGTGTTCATACATGTACACTAAATAAATTGATGAGAAATTTAAGTGCAACTTCTGTCTTGTGTGTTTTTTGTTATGTTTTTTTAATATCATTTTATTTATTTTTTTGAAATCCCCCACCCCCTCATATATCCTGGTACAGTACATTATAAGATTGGATGCTGAATCATTTTCAGACCCCCACCCGAGGATATTCAATTATCTATAAATATACCAATAACACTTTGAAACTGCAACTTTCTGTTTTTTGTGTTTTGTTATGCAAATATCCTGGATCCTTTAACACAAGCTTGCCTCAATCAAAATCTCCCCCCATTACGACAATGTACAGTGATAAGACTGAAGGATGTACATGTATATCCTTATACAATGTGTAAAGTCACCATTCTCGATTTACTTATGATGCATTTCATTGTATTTAGAACTGGAAGTGAATCAGGGCAGCAACTTTAGAATTGGATTTTCTTATTTATATATTACAAATTACTCTCACTTTGGCTTTACCTTACATTTATGTAAGAATTAATTATGAATTCAGATTATTTTCTATGAAAGTTGGCAACTTGACAACCATTGCTTTTCCAAGTTTTTTATTTTCATGAATTTGCTTTGTCCTTGTTGTTGATAGAGATATATGTAAGCTAACAAAATATTGGCATGTTCATGTACAGTAGGCTATTGCTTGAAATAGAGTAGACACCCTAACACCAAGTCACACCACATTATATGGAATAATACATGCAGTCCCGCTTGACACTGTGTGAGAGTGTTTACTTTATTTCAAGCAATACATAATGTATGTTAAAGTGCATATTTAGATAATGGAAATAAGAGTTCAGATGCACTTTTTAGTTTGAAAAACGTTGGCACATTAATGACCATTAAACTCTTGAAAATTCAATCAGCAGAAACTTCCTGATTATGAAAAGTCAATAATTCTTGAGTGGAGTTGTACAGATGTAATAACATTATAAGTGTTAATAAGCAAATCTATTTTGTTTGTAAACTTGGCAGCCATGCAAGGGCATTCTATAAGCGTACTGTAGAAGTGTCGTAGTTGAGTGGTTTAAGCACTTGACTTGAAATTCAAAGGTCGTGGTATGATCCCCAACACGGCACTAATGTCCATTGGCAAGGCATTAATCTTCATTTGTCACACTTGACCCAGGTGAGGTAATGGGTACCTGGCAGAAATTAACTCCTCGAAATGATAGAGCACTGTAATGGCAGCTAGGCTAAAGCCGGAGTAATAATTAATTTGTGCGCCTCGGAATAGAATTGTCTAGATAGACGGCACTATATACATGTAAATGCCTATTATTATCTATTATTATTACTGCACTTAAAGATAAAGACCATTTATGGTCATGCGATTAATTGTGAAAGAAACGTTGTGGAATCGATCAGAAAAGGTTGATCATCTAGCATATACACTGTAAGTATTGGTGTGTACTGCAAGGTTCTGGAATCATCAAAATGATAAGAAATTTGACCCAGTCTTCGTAAAGTTACAAGCACTGTACACAGAAAGATGTATATCTATCACGTCCAAATAAATAAACTAATTTACCAAATATATCATTTAGTAGGCGGTTTCCCGGCAAAATGTTATCATCATGTGTTAGTCAAAACATATTCTTTCACATGATTGGTAATTTCATTTTTTGAGAGGGGGGGCGTTTCCAAAACTGGTCTTTACTTAGGGAACTACAGGATTGTAATGATTAAAAGGATCAATCGCGCAATGGACAATCAAACAAAAGATTACAACTCAATTCATAATGGGATTTTTGCATCTCTATTCATGCATATATGGGAATATCGCACATTGTTCTATAGTTAATATTAAAGGGGAAGTTCACCCTGACAATAAGTTTGGTTTAAAGCCCCACTGCACTACTTATAGCTACTTGCACCCTCTATATAGCAAACAATGCCTAATCGGTGACCATTGGTCCCCCATGATCCTCTTTTTCTTATGTTAATTGAGAGCTGACTTGATGAGATAAACACCTGTCAGTGACCATGCAGGGAGGTCTAATCCCTCCTTGCCAAACTAGTTCAGTGGGGCTTTAATACAAGGATAAAAATGAAAAGAACAGATCAGTGAAGGTTTGAGAAAAATTGAACAATACCGGTAAATTTTTTTGATTGGTTTAATTGTCTGATTTCTCTGCTTCTTTTGAAAGGAGTATTTTTGCAGTGGACTTGCCCTTTAAACACAGCTCCCATGTTCAATTTATGGACAGTCCTTTGTGACTAAAAATAAAAGTTACGAGATTTACCATTTCTCATCTGGCTTGCTTGGCCGGCATCCATTGTTCCAATCTTTAACTGCACTGAAACCAACGGCACTCATTGCTGGAGGAAGGAGTAGGTGATTCCCCTTATTCTAACAGCTGTTCTAAATGGTTTCCATATGCCTCTTGTCATTAGCTTGAGTTTGCCAAATAACCCGCTATTTTAACTATCCTGATCGCAAATTAGCCAGTTAATCTGCAGTTGCAATTAGCAGGATATGTGGTCGAGAAGATATCCTGTGAAAATCTTGGTCTTTTTCCAAAATATCCAGCTATTTGAGAAATAGAGAGCTAATTTGTGCTCATCAGCCCGCAGTTACAACTAGCCGGATATGTGGTCGAGAAGATATCCTGTGAAAATCTGGTCTTTTTCCAAATATCCAGCTATTTGAGAAATAGAGAGCTAATTTGTGCTCGTCCGAGCTAGTTTGTGATGATCGCATCGGTCTGGTGAAGACGCAATTTTGAGCTTCGGGAAAATATCCAGAGACTGAAAAT